CAGCAGAAGAAAACAGAGATTACTGCAGCAAAAGACAAACTATGAGATACTTATTTCCATATATTTAACAATTCATATTCTAAAAACAAAAATAAGCAGAAAAAAAATATAACAAACCACGCAGCCACGCCATCAGAGCCGTGTCTCGACGCAACCCAGGGTGATGGTGATGCAAGGCGCTGCAGCTCAGCCCGAAACAAAATAACTAAAAAAGCAAAAAAGATAAAATATAAAAAAAGAATATTTTTGTTTCTTTTGGTCTTTCTTTTGTTGAAGCCAGCAGAAAGCAGCAGCAGCTCTGCTGCTGGCTGCGCCGCTGGTAGGTAGCGAGCGCGGGGTCCTCGTTGCAGCTGCTGCTGGGTTTATCCTTATAAATACCTTTTTTTCTTCGGCTTTTCAGAATATAAACAACAAAAATAATTATTTAAATTATATTCTCTACATAAATATGCTCTTTCTTCTTTTTAATATACCCTGAAACCCCCCCTTCATCCTCACCGCCCCTGTGAACCTGAAAAAGGCCCACCGGTTATACCCCAGCTCTATCACTGTTTGCCCCCATACACTCTCCGAGTTTTTGTTTTTATTTAATTTATAAATCAATTGTTTTTAATATATTAAACAATTCTTCATCGCGGTGTCCACACACACAACAAGAGCAGACTTGTGGGCCATCATATGTGGGGTCNTAAACAATTCTTCATCGCGGTGTCCACACACACAACAAGAGCAGACTTGTGGGCCATCATATGTGGGGTCGTCCTGCGGGAGCTGCAGCAGCAGCTGCAGCAGCAACTGCAGCAGCAACTGCAGCAGCAACTGCAGCAACTCACAGCTCTTCGGCCTCTCTCCTCTCGAGCCTCAGTTATGTGTACTTTTGCGTGAAGAATACCAGCAGTTCAGAGGAGACGCTGCCTGCATCTGCAGCTATTTCTACTCTTGCAGCTCAAGGCTAAGACCGGGGGCACTCACCACACCCCCCTGCTTGCTTGCTGCCCCTGTACACTCCACAGAGCAGTCTCTGTATCACGGAGGAGCTAACAAAACTATTCCGAGATTCTCGGGCCCTCGCTCGGGGTAGACTCAAGCCTGAGGGACTCGACGCTGTATGCAGCAACTGGGGGGCTGCTTCGCTGCTGCGTATTCCCCTTTAATAGCGGTAGTTTTCGGCTTTTTGTGATGAACTCTTCTCAGGCAGACTCTCATCTATACGTCAGAAAAGAGCAGCATTATATCTAATCCTATTCCAGCTGATATAGCTTGGGGCCGGGATGGGGAGCTCAAACGACTACCACGATTCTGCAGAGAGCAGTGCATCTGAGCGGCCACAGAACTTCCACTGAACTTCGCTGTATTATGTTGCTGGTATGCTTGCTTGCAATTGTTCTACCTTTCTTCTAGCACGCTAGTTGAGGTCTAGCGGGGGAGGCCGGCTCGGTAGGAGCGCACCCAGCAAGCTCTAGCATCCAATACCACACAAAAGCCCCCTGAAGACACCGTTATGAATCAGTACACAACCATATCAAGCGTTTACAAACCTCCAAAGAGTGCGTTCAAAGCCCCACATGCGTGGCCTTCGCCAGAACACGGCGTCTAAGCGAAGGGCCACCGGCAAGCCGGCACCCCCTTGCTGAGAACGGAGTGAACGCACTCGCTGAAACCGCGATGCAGCTCGAGATCACACTGGATACTGCAGTTGCTGACACTTTCACTGCTATTTCATTTTAACTTCTATACTGTAAACGGATTAGCTCTCTACGTAGACCCCCGCACTAGCAAGGAACCCAGAACTACAGAGCCCAGGTGACCGTCTGTCGCTTGGAGACAGCGAAGTACCCTGTGGGGCTAGTCTTGCGCACATCAAATCCCACTCTGCGGTTATGCGCAGCGGCAGGTGCTTGTGCGTATCCTCGGAGCTTTTAATATCCGGATACGGGATATTTACAAAGGAGAAGAGGTTGTTAGCTGCGGCACCCTGGCCTCTCCCTCTGTATCTACTCTACTGTATCTACACTTTATGTTCTTACAAGAAAGGGCAGCTTCAATCCCCCCAAGAGGTCAATTGTTTTAGTTATGAGGTCTTAAGTAAGGATGTATTTGGCGGTGAGTATGTTTTGCCCCACACTTGTGTCGTGCTTCTCTGTTGAACGGTAGTTCAGGTATGCTCTGGCTGCGGACTGCTTGCACCTTCGGCGCTGGCTAGCTGACAAATACC